ATCCATCCATCCATCCATCCATCCATCCATCCATCCGTCTGTCTTTCCGTCTTTTCATCTTTCCGTCCGTCCATTCGTCCTTCCGTCTTAAGCTGTACATCCACTATAGTTAAACAGAACGACGCTCGCGGAAACATGTTGCGCTTGAGCATATTGAACAATTTTATTTGCATTTCTTGTTTGAACAACAGGCCCCGATAACCATAGCATCAAAAGCATTTACGCACTCCACAAAAACTGCCACGAAGTCCGCTTATGGTCCATCTATTGCCGACCCAACAATAAAGCAACCTCGTGTAGTGGCTGGACTGGCTGGCAAAATAACTATGACCGGGATGTAAATTTCAATTGCCCAAATAATGGTTATCTAGCTGGCATCTAAAGTACCTTTGGCGGGCACTGGAAAGATTCGACTATTCGCCTTTAAGTGCTGTAACAATGGACAGACCGGCAGCCGTGTTTGTAAGAGGACAGGTTATAAAAACGATTGGGATAAACCTATGTACATACATGAGAACGGGGATTATTATATAGCTGGTATATTCAGCTATCATAGCAATCACTACGAGTAATTGAAAAACACTTTCAGTTATAAACCTGACGTCAGCGTTTTGCACCCCAAAGCGATTATTTTTAAAAAAAAAAAAAAAAAAAAAACAACAAAAAACAACGAAAAACAAACAAAACAAACAAACACTTATAAGAATTTCAAAGATTATATTGTGTTTGTTTTTATTTATTTTGAGATTGCATTCAAGATTTWAAAAAATGTAACGTATATTGTACAACGTTGTCAAGTTGCCATGGCTTCATTATCATGTACCTTTTAATGGTGATTATTTGTTATGAACAATAGCGATCTCTTTCCCGGAGACTGCGCTATTGCCATCCAGTAGAAGGCAAAGAGGGAAAGGCTCTGGGGCGATTGACAACGATCGACAAAACCATAAACAGGATTAAAAGTTTCCGGATTTACAACAACAGCAAAAAAAAAAAAGAAAGAAAAAAGAA